GGAAACTTCTAAAATACAGTGAAATGTATATTGATTATGGATTTCCTAAGAGGAGCTGTAGGTGTTAGCTGTGCCGCCTTCTGTATTAGCATTTTCCAGTGACATATGTTTGGGCCATGGAATAGGGAGAAGTTGTGCAGTCTCTCCATGAACACAGCAGTGGAATCAGTCCAGCATGTGGACATCTCATTTAAATGCTAAGTATTGACCCTATCCCTTCACTCTGGGCAGGATGGACAGTGTGGCACAAGACCTGAAGGAGAGAACCAAGACAAGTTTCCATGCTTGTATGCCTGGTCCATGACAATGCAAGATTTGCTCAAAGGCTAAATGACACAATAATGACACAATACTCTGCTTTATTTTAACTCAAATAATACATGCCTGCTGAGAGTTGCTTCACTTACAGAGCTTGCATCAACTGTTGTTCACGTCCCTCTCTGCATGTACGATGAATACAGGACATCGGTAGGTGTTTCTTGTGCAGGACACTCGTAATTATATGCTGTCATCCATTGCACGCTCAGCTGCAAAGTGCTGTCATCTCATTGTTGATGTCATACCGATGACCCAGTTTGGATTGCTGTGCCCTGTAATGAATGGCCAACCTGACCGATGCCTGAATAGCAACTCTGTTTTCTACACTGTTAGCAGCGCCTCGCAGCAGGGAAATCTGTTCTAGCGCGGCGCACAGCACGTACAGGCTGCTGCAGGGCTGGGCAACCAGATGAATTGAGCCAGTTTGCAAAAGTTTTAATATTCTGAAAGGCAAGGGAAGAGTTACTGAAACAAATGGACAGTTACATGTACTAAGTGACTTCAGCGTAAGGCTGTAAGAACTGCATCTTTTGATTGCTTTTGTCCATTTGTTTTCATAAACGTGCTTGATTTGAATGTTTCTGCGTGACGGTGCGCTGGAGCTTTGCACAGCAGTGCCCATAAATACATCCTGGGAAGTACCGTTTTTCTCTCTCCTGGGTTATAATCCCAGTGCTTTTGGTTAGCGTGGGGGAGTGCAGGAAGGAGTACTCAAATTCAGGGAACTAGTGAGTTCCTGTAGATGACTGAAGGTTGGATGGTCCTTGTCCTTGCTGCCAGCCCTTCTGGCCATCTACTTGTAAAAATAAACACCTCTGGGAGCACTTGTCAAATGCTGAATACACTGGACTATTAACTGGGAGCCTAAGAGTTACAAATGTCTTTCTGTGTGAAGTACAGAACTGCTAGCAGACACATACCCTGGAAAACTCTGCAGGTTCTGCCCATTTTCTAGTTTTAGTAGAAGAGCTGGGCAATACAATATTAATACAAAAACTACAAAATTAAATCATCTTAACTGAGCGATGACCAAATCCTGTGTGCGTTGTGGTACCATGCAGTTCCAGCTGCCCAGGGCAGTAAAACCATCACTTCCACTCTCTGTAGATGGTACTCTGAAGACCAGTAAGAGATTTATAGTACCATAACTGGGAAATGGAGCAGTCCCTATTATAAACTTTGGCCAGCTCTGGTGTGTTGGCAGGACATGGTTTCCTTCGCCTTGTAGCCAATTATAGTGACATACACTAATTTAATACAAGTCTTGAAGTCTATTATCTCTTCCATGGTGTTTGTTCTAGAATTATCCCCTCTGTTTTAGCTAGAAAAGGCTGTTTCAAAAAAGGAGTAGTGCGCTGCTGGTCTGCCTTCGTCTCTGAAGAATTTCATTCTCTTCCCCCTTCCATTTCTTCTGTGTAAGGGATGTGGCTTCACACAGCAGCAAACTTGACGTTTTGTGGAGGATTCTGTGTTTTATACAGACGGCAAAATTTACACACAAGAAAGATGTTTTTCGGTATCCTGTCAAGAACAATTTATTCTCCTGAATAACACCTAGTATTAAAGGATGTTGAGAAAGATGTTAGGAAAAGCAAACCTGGGTCACTTAGAAATTACTAGAAGTAATTTCAAAAGCCTAGAAGTTTAGAATAGCCTCTAACACTTTTCCAGGCTAGTTTTATTCTAGTATGGACTTGCCAGAAAGTCAGAATGTCCATTGGTATATTTAGCCATACACACTGCCATGACTTAACAATGTGTCCCAATTCCAGCCTGTTTTCACCCAGCCTCTATCACCTGAGCACCAAGTTTTGAAGGAAGGCTTGAGAAAATAGGTCTGTTGCTGACCCAAACTGTTCTGTGATTCTACGTCCCCTGGCACTTCACAGCTTTCCGGGAGGGGGAATTCTAGAGCTGAGGTGGTCCCATGGAGCGCATCCTGCCTTGGCCCCGTCGCGTTTAAGTCTAAGGACTTTAGTTAGAGAAAACCCAAACGTTCCTTTAGTATAGTACCGGTCAAAGGGTGGCTTCTACAGAAAAACAATTTAAGGCTTTGATTTGCACTGAAATCAAGGTAAGCTTTTTCTACCAAGCAAGTTTGCCCAAGTAATGGGCAAAAGGCAAGAAGTTACCTGCGTTCTGCACGAAGCTGTGAGCGTCCTTGCCGTACAGTCTCCGTTAACGACAGGCGGTGACTGTTGCCTGCATTCTCACAGTAAAATTTGAATTCAGACAAAGCCTTGTTGCTAATCCAGATGAGACAGAAAAGGCTGGCTGGCTGCTTCTGGAATCTCTATTTTAATACTTCCTGTCCCTTGCCTGTTCTCTTCTAGTCAGGTTCCTTTTCGGAAGTCTCCTACTGCTATCTGATTTGCTCCTTTAATTTCTCTCACCATTTTTTGTGAGGGTGCTGGTTCAGATGTAAAATTCTGGCCTGGACAATAATGGGAAAGAGGATAGATCTGCCTGTTTACTACTGTTCTTGTAATTGGGAGAAGAAAGAAAATCATAGTCTTGCTTTCCCATGAATAATTCCTCTGTATTTCTCCTCCTTTAGAGCTCTCTCCAGAATTTCCTTAATTTCCCAGCTGATCAGCTAAGCTATCTAATTAGATGATCCATCCTCGAATGTGCACGTGCGTTGGCTCCATTCTCAGCCTTGCCAGTGCCCGGCCCGCTGTGGCACTCAGCAGTTCTCTGCCATTTGTGACCGAGCCCAAACGTGGTCCTTGACTCGAGGAGATGCTCTTCTGCCCTAGTCTCCGAGGGGACAGACTTCACAGAATTTGTGTTAGCTGGGGAAATGGGAAAACTGCCATTTTAATTATCTGCAAAATGGGCTGAGTGGTTGCCTGTCTAGTGGACTGTTTAGGACTTGCTAACTTGTGATATTTTCTGGTGGGAAGTGATAAAAGCGTCTGTGGGGGGAAAACAACACTTTTCTTCCATGTGACATTTTGGGAAAGAATGCTGGAGAGTTCGTGTCCCACTTCAGCATCACGCTTCAGTATCTTGAGATAATTAGAAAGCCAACTGTGATTTAGAAACACAGTTTTTAAGTTTGACTGACTAAAAGCATTGGGTTTGGTGTTCTCTTGTAATGATGGTATTATGCTGTTGTCAGTTTGTTATCGCTGATCGGAGCGCTTTAAAAAGCTACTTAGTGGCAGCACGTTAGCTTTTCCAGTTAAGGCATGATGGTTTCTTTGATAGGGAATGGGGTGGGACTGATGCTCAGGTAGAGAATATTAGCTGCCTGGAGAAGCGGCGGTCTGTCAGTGATCCCTAGCTACAGCTTCATAAGCCACTAAGATCTTACTTTCCTTTTTTAACTCTTAATCTGATCCTCTGCCACTTAAGCGACCTAGCTGATGCTGCTTTTATTTCCTTTGCATACATACAGCTAAATTGATTCAGACCGCTTAATCAACTGATAACGATCAGCTTTTTTGTACTGTAATTTTAGCAGCAGTTTTTACCAGGTACATAGCTCAGGAAGATCAGCTCTTAGTTGTTCCAGGAGATTAAAGAGAAACTTTATTAATGAAATTAAATCTAATTCTCCTTGTTCCCTGCTTTGCTTTTGGAAATGTTGAAAGCATGCCTCTAAATGGAATGAGGCATCGCTGCTCAGCAGCCTTAGTTCACAGATCACTCTAATCATTCCTCCCACAGGCGTAAGTGTGTGGAGGTTGTTTGTTTGTTTTTTCACCATGGCAAGACAATATGAAGTCTTATAAATATATGTATATATTCCTCAAGAAGCACGTGAGGCTTTGCCGGCTGTTTTTCTCAGGGCTCCTTAGGAAGGAGAAGCTTGTCTTACTCTTACAGCTAGTGGGATTATTTTAGCTGGTCCAGAAGTCCATTTCAGATTTGTAGATTGTTGGCCACTGTGATAATGCTTTGCATGAGAAAGCTTGTGAGATACAACTCACAGCTCCAGCTTCATTGCCTTGGAAGAACACTGTGTTTTCCAAGAATCATCTCTCCTCCTGATGCTGCACCAAAGATCATGTCTCCCTTGAAACCAGGCTTCAGGATTTAAAAAAAAAAAAAAAAACACAACCTACTCCGTTTGCCCCTGAGCTCTGAAGGGCTGCTCGCAAACAATTTCCTGCAAGGATATGGGTACTGTAATACTTTTTCGTGAGGCTCCTGTTTACCAGCACCCTGTGCCCTTTTCTGTGATGGAAACAAGTCCTGCCATGCCTGCATCCTCAGCCTCCCTTTGCTGGAGGTTAGGGCTGCTTGATCGCTCCTGTCAGCCCGTCCCTCCAGCCTCTTGGCCATGTGCTTGTCTGATGCGTAGTTCCGTGGTTTTAAAGTGCCTGTGCTTTGATGTACCTTCACAGAACTGTGACACCGATGGAAGTAATGCTGTAGGTGATGCCTTCCTACAAGTACACCCTCATTATCGCTTCCAGATAAATGAAAATCACAGTTTATATTTAATCTATGAATCCACAGAGCATTCTTGGACCATTTTTAAACTATACTGGATGTAATATTCTATCCAACTGTGATCCAGTCCAGGAGTTTGAAAGCTTGAGAATTTACTGGGCCAGATGTCTTTCTTCAAACAGCCTTGTTAACTAGCGGCTTCTTCCCTAGAATAAAGTAGGTTTTGTTTCCTTAATGAAAATACATGGCTAAAATGTTTAAATTGTTTTTGTTTACAGATGTTCTCAAACAATGATGAAGCTGTGATCAACAAAAAACTTCCAAAAGAGCTGCTGCTTCGGTAAGCCTTCTTTCCGTTCATAAGCTCGGAGACTGTGCTGTGTATTGGTATTTGCAGCCAGGAGCTGATTTTGCTGGGGTGCTCATAAATCATGAGCTTGGATTGGGTCACTTATAAAGCCGTAGACAAACAGAAGCAGATCAGAGGTCTGCATCAGCAGCAGTTTATGCTAAATATTATTAGGGTTTACTTTTTAAAATGTTAAATTAATTCGCTGGCTGCCTATTTTGTAGATGGAAGAACTAAGGACTAACAGGTCCTTAATGAAAATAAATGGTAAGTGTAGACCAATGTGTGGAATGGGATTCTGCCTGTCTCTGAAGTGTTCCATTTTAAAAAAAGTTAGTTCCTCTGCTCCAGTTATGCTCGAGCAGCTTTGTCGTGTTCCTTGTCAATGAGACAGATGTTCAGCACCTGGCAGGATGGTCCTGTGGGCAAAGATCAGATGTTGTGGATCTCTGCAGACGACTTTGCCCTCTCCCTGTGCTGCCCTTCCATGTGCACACACAGCTGCATGTTTTTAAGTTTGCTTTTAAGGGGTGTGTGTGTGTGTGTGTGTTTGTACCTTGGCCATCACAGTTGGGCATCTTGAAGGAAAGTTGTGTTCACCAGTGCTTTAAGCTGAGAGGCTAGGCTGTAAATGGTGAAGGCGATTGCAGGTGGCAGCTTGAATTATTAACGCAAACAAAATTCTCATGCTGCAAGAAACTGTGTAGTACTGTCAACATTTAATGGCAATAAAAAGTCTAGGGAGAGGAGTTCTGACACAGGAAACTACTTCTAGCTTACTTGTGAAATAAAATGAATAGAAAAAAAAACTGACTTTTTTTCTCTTGGCTGCACTACCTCCTCCGTTCTCTGTAATGGTGTCTCCCATCTGATTCAGTTTCTTTTATTCCAGTAGTAGTCATCCAAAAGCAAGATGTATGGCTGCCAAAGCCCTCCTTGCTAATAATGTGGCTATTTGGGTTTTGATTGTCCATGCTGTACAGAGATTGCTGTGTAAAAGCCAGCATCTGGTACCGGGAAGAGACAGGCAACCTGTGGAGGAGCAGGATGAAGCCACGAACATGGTAGGATGCTGTAGCCCAGACTGGTTTGCACAGTTTTTTGCAGGTGATAGTTGCCTTCACCTAGCACTTGCCCAGAACCATTGGTATGGAATTTGAAGAGTGAGAAAAATGTCTCTGCGGATTTTCTGAGAGGGAGGTTCTTTTTCTGATGGGAGCAAGTAGGTTCTGGTATTGCAGATGGAACACCACCAGGATTTGCCCTTGTGGTAAGGTGACAAGATACAGGTAGGGCTGGGACAGGTTGTGAAGAGCACTGATGTGTGAGGCAAGGAGTTTGTGCAGCATAGGAAAAGCAGGGAATCTGGTAGGGAGAAAAAGATCGAGGGGTGGAATTTAAGTGAGGTTTTGCATGGACTTCAGGGGAAGAGGTGTGTGGTCATTGGACTCCCAAGGAGCAGGACCTCGATTAGAGCATGGATGAGCGTTCTGGTAGTTCGGTCAAAGTGGAATGACCCTGAGTGGGATCAGTAAGCACATCTTGGTCCGTGGGAGGTAGCTGGTGTTGAGGAACATTGCCAGACAATTGGAGAAGGATTTGTGGTAAGTGGAAGGGAAGGGAAGGCCCTGCACCAAGCAGAGGGTTTCATCAGTACAAGCCACAGTGTGGCTGAGTTCTCAACAGTAACACGCTTCTGCCCTGCAGAAACGTTGTTGTCTTTTGTGTCTTGATATCACGAATCATCCTAACCTGCTGTAGAACAGAGCAAGTGCTCAGGGTCATCTGGAACCTAGGAGAAATCAGGAGACTGAGTTTATAAATGTTAAAGTTCATAAGTAATGGTTTTGAGAGTTGGAATTCACTGTTAGCATACTGTGAAAATTAATTAGTGTGGATTGACAGTGCAGCCTTTGAAAGAGAAACTTGGATGCATTTATCTGCAGGAATCTCCTGTAAATGAGTGTCACTGTCTACAAGACAAAGACTTAAGTGTTTAAGCAGTGCTACTGTGTAATGTCTTGTTCTCTGGTTTGTTCATTCTGCAGATGGCATTGATGTCTCATGTATGTGGTTGCAAAGTGGAAAGCTGTACTTGAGCAAAATAAAGAGTAGGAGGGTATAAGAGGGGTGAACAGCAGCCTTTGTCACACCCCAGGATACAGAAATGTGCAACTCCAGTAGCACTTCTGTCTGGGAGGGTGGGGTGGAGGTGTAAAGCGTTCTGGAGGGCTTTTTTCAGAAATCTCTCCTTTAAATGCATCCACTGTCATGTCATGCTCTACCCTACCACGATGCTGGTAGCGGTGATGTTTGTCCTGCGTTGCCCTGAGAGCAGGACTCTAAACAAATGCAGCACGTGGTTAGAGAAATCAGCTGATGGGTCACAAATTCTCATCCTGTTACTGCCGTACCTGCTCCAGCTCTGTCTCCTGCCAGCTGAGTTTCTAGGAGCTTACACCTTTATACATGAACATACCTTTACACAGTTAAAAATGAGCCAAACCGGCAAAAAGTGGAGTTCCATTCACCGCCCTTTGCTGCTGCCAGCTCCTGTTTGGGCAGCATCTGGCTCGGTGACTCTGAACGGTGAATTCATGGTCCGCGGCAGCTCTGGCTGTGGTCGTTTCCCCAGAAGGGGCATCGTGTCCCTGTTTCCCTGTGTTGGCGTTAACGATGCCCTGTTGAAAAGGTGCATTCATTCTTTGAGGGCTGCCTGCCAGTCACTTTTTGTCCGTAAGCCAAACCCCAACCACAAGCCTGGATTTTCTGTGGCGGTGGTGGTCTCTGCTGGTTTCCTGCAGAAGAAGGTTTACTCTCAGCGTGACGTGGGGCTGCTAAACAGCTTACGCTTGGCAGGGTGAAGGGGACTGGGCTGCGGGAGTTCGTCTTTTCCTTACTGGTTCATGGGCAGGTCAAGCAGTTTTCAATTCTCTCCTGGCGTAAGCGGCTTTTACTCCGTGCTGCTGCCCGCTAGCCCATTTTCAGCACATCCAGTCGTTGGCACTGGCTTTGCCATCTGACCTTCAAGCCCCATGTTGATTTATTTCTCGGGATCTTGAGTTCCGCTCGGGACGAGGAAACGACAGAGCGTGCGGGGTACTGGTGAGTTGGCAGCAAAGTTGTTGTTTTTCTCCTCCTGGTCAGCCCATGGGCATAAAATGAGTATAGAGCGAAATTTAACTTGAATGGTGGGTCACTGACATAAACTGGTGTCGATAATTTTAGAAGGCTAAAGGTCTAAGCTAGCTCACCTCAAAGCCCACAGCACCCAGGGATTTCATTAGAGTCTTGACCCTAATCTAATTAGAGTGGCAGTGGGAAAGTGAGGAGTCCTAGAAAACCCTGGGTGGATTAAGAGGTTGAAACCTGAAAAATGCTCTAACTGCGATGTGTTTTAGCTAAATTGTCTGGTGCTGGACTGTTCAGGCAAACTTCTAAACGTAGAGAGTTACTTTGCAGGGAAATAATTTCATCTGCTGCAATACCAGACTTGTTTTAATTCCTGTTTGGAATACTCAGTCTGCCTTCACCCCGAGCACTGTTTGATGATAAAGTTATTGGTGTGGATTATTTTCTTACTGTCAACTCTGAAGAGTAAAAAGACCAATGTAAGAGTAGAGCAGTCAGCTGTGAGCAAAACAGAAATCCTGTGTGTTGGATGTAAAAATAAACATCCCATGATCTATTAAGGTCTATTAAGGCTGAATCAGGAAAGCTGTTACTCAAGCAGTACTGTTCAGCCTGCTGCTGCTTACTCTCCTCTGCTTTATTTCAGCAGATAAACTGAATCTGACCAGAGCAGCAGATATTTTTCTAAGGATTTGGTGCTTTGGAACAATTCCAGGAAGAATTGTCCCTCTTACTGAGAGAGGGTCTGGAGCTGACTCCGTTGCATCCAAATTTCCTGCCAGCCCAGTATCTTTCCTCATTATTGAGTCCAGTTTTAATTGAGCCATAGGGTAATAGCAAGAATGCATATTATTTCAGCTGAAGGTATAGATTACCTTTGCTTTATTTTATACTGTGCCGACTGCTGAAAAGAGACCCAGTATTTATGACACGTACCGTACTCCTGTTGGAAGAAGACGACTGCTCAGCCACTGCTTAGCCACGTGGACAGCTTCTCTGTGGGGTTTTTCTGGGGTTTTCTGTTTGTTTGGTTTTTGTTTTTATTTTTTTTTTAATCTTCCCCAACAGCTCCTTGGAGAAGCCGCCTGTCCTCGAGGCTGTGTTAGAAAACTTAGCTCGGGTCATTGTGCCTGCAAGACTTTAACTGTGCTCCTGCTGTTCTCTCTAGTTCATGTGAAGGGTTGTAGCTGGAGCCAATTCTGAAACGACCAAAATGCACAGCAGAGTAGTCACTGCCGCTAAAAGAGTAATTTCTGCAGGGCGATTCTGCTGAGTCACCAGCTAATGTTCTTGAACAAATGCAAGAGCAGTTCAGAAAACACTGAAAAAGGCTTTTAGGCTTTTCAGAGCCAAAGTCCCCGAGTTAGACCATGAGGAAACTCCTGGCGAAGCTCAGCAACGTTAACCTCGGAGGTGAGAGGGGCAAGTGTTTTGCTGTGTTGACATCCCGTTTGCTGTGTGGGCAGACCGGGAAGGGAGGAGCAGGAAGTAGAAAAGAATTTGGCGGAGACCTAATAGCCCTGATAGAGGGATGAGATGGTTATTAATATAATATTTCCATGGAGAAAGCAATTTTAATGAAAATGTGGAAAGTGTGCGTAGTTATTGACCTAGTCGCTGTTCCCATGGAGTTTGGTGGTTTGGTGTTTTTTTGCTCTTACGATGGGAATCTAGGGTGAAAGTAAGCATTTTCCCTAGCTTCTATCATTTCCCCAGGCTTTCCTTGTATTGTTGTACATTGACACTGTGCTAAATAAATCCTCAGCGCTCCCATACGTGTATGAATAAATGACATTTAATTCAAGGAGAAAACTTGTCTTATAAGCCGTTGAAAGTGAGTATGGAACTGCTTCTGAAATCCAGAAGTGGGATCCCAAAACAATGTTACAGTAAAGTGCATGTTAGCTCTTTCCCAGACCTCTTACTTGTGTGTATCTCGGCACGGCACTGTGAATTTTATCTCGTGATGAGACGCGTAAGGAACAGACGAGAAGTATTTTGAACCAGACTCTGAATCTGTGAGGATCTTTGGGCAGTGTAGAAACACACGCGAGCGTCTGGCTGTTTATTCTCCTATATCCTGGCTTAACTGAGTGTTTGACTGTTAAGCTATGCGATACCTGTAAGCATCTGTGTTTTGAGAAATAATCTGCATTCATCCTCTACCGGTATCATCCTTTTCTTCCACCAACGCTAATGTTTCTAAAGTGCTTTTTATATACCTGCTAGTGAAGAAAGCTTGGTTGTGCGATGGTTGTATCGTATCATCTCAGCCTGGCTTTGTCCTCTCCTAAAATTTGGAAATCCAGGATTTGGTACTTGTATATAACAATATACAAACACCTGGGTGTCTGTGAAGGTGTACTGTGCATATTAACGTGCGTACGAAACTTGGTCAGTAGGAAAAGCCTGGACAACCCTTCACCGCTTATCTCCAGGACAAAGTGCAGTTTATCTGTGATACACACGATGTTTGTTCGTAGTTCTCGGCACCTCTTCCCCCACCTTTATCAGTATCTGTGCTATTTATTCAAATGGATTCTTTGTACTTCTCTGGGGAGATGAGTACATCATACAGCTTTCTTGGTTTTGTATGAGAGTTTCAGTAATGTGTTAGTACAGGGTGGTTAAGTTTCTAAGTCACACAAAAAGAACGTGCTGCCAGCAATGTCTTCTCGTTTCTAAGTCTCTTCCAGTACAGGCAGGTCTGCTGAGAATATAGGAACGGTTACGTACGCCCCCTGCCAAGCCCACGGTCTTGTGGGGAGATGACTCAAGTGTCGCAGGTATCCAACCGATTGCTAATCTGGGCATATGCTGTTCTCTTGAGAAGGTCTGGAGATGTTTGGAGCAGTGGAGTTCTGTTTGTTCTCAGAATTTCTCCTGGACAACCATATTTTATCTGACAAGAGTATTTTATAAAATGGTGTATAACATTCGAACAAAATTGCTTGCCCCAAACCTTTCACGCTTGTATCTGATGACATTTGCTTTCTCTTTCTGGTGATCTTCAAGTTTAAAACATTAAAGCATATGTGCAAGTGTTTTCTTGTAGTCAAGCACTTGTATTATCTTTACAAAAAGATTCCATCCTATGACTTTATAACTGCTATCAAAAAGCATGAGACCTTACTGCCTTTCTACTGACCACTTGGCTTTCTCTGGTTTGTGACATATGATTGCTTGAATAACTATAAACCATAAAATAAGCATATTGATAAACTGGTACAGATTTGGGAGCTTTAAAGGGACTTGGTACTTCCTGTGTTCACAGATCGGGGTGTATATGCCCGAGATAAAAGCATGGGTGTCTTAGCCCAGTATAGCATTGCAAAGCATTACTGTCTAATTCCTTTATCCCAATAACTAGGACAGCAACACCAGGGTGTTGGCCTGAGTGCTTGGGTGTGCCCTGGCAGAGGAATGACATACCGCAGAGGAGTGACCGCATCGGCTTAATCCGAAACGCGTCTCTCCTAGACACTGTACTGGCACAATCGAACAAATCATCTGGCTCCGCGAGTCGCTCTGCAGCGTTGCAGAGCAAAATACTCTTCTTAACTCTGTGTTAACAACACTTTGTATTTAGCACGGCTGTGTGAAAAAGAAGAAATAACACATGCACTGAAATCAGGCTGTCGTGTTGCTTTGATCTATTAACTGTTAATTATTGCACTGCCCACTTTTGGAGAGCGGTTGCTAAAGGTGGTGTTCTGGCTGGGCAGAGGCGCCGAGCACAGCGACGCTCCGGTGTCCAACATGTGCCAAAACAGCCCAACGCGAGCGTTGGTTCTGCTGTATCCTGACGGAACCCAATGTTTGACTAAAAAGCTACACAATACCTGTAAGCGTCTGTTTTGATAAATAATTGTGCGGTTTACTGTCAGTAAATACTACAAGATGCGAGATTAATATTTCACAGTGGCTCAGCCTCTGTGTTTTGCTTTCATTTGTTAACTGCTAGGTCTGCGCTTCTTTTCACAGTTCAGCTTTCAACTGAATTACAAAGAAGTTTTGCTGTCTCCAGTCCTTTCCCCCCCGCCCTTTGTTTTCCCTGTTCTCTTTGTTTTAAATGCAAATAACCAATAAGATCTCTTTTATTTCTGTTACAGAATTTTCTCTTTCCTGGATGTGGTCACTCTGTGTCGTTGTGCTCAAGTTTCCAGGGTAAGAACCTTCCTCCTTGCTGGTGGATTTTAACAGTTGATTGGATTTGGGTGACAATCCTCTTGCTCCAGCCTTCCCTAGCCTGTCAAACCGGGAGGATTTGTACCAGGCAGCTTTGTGCAACTCAACTATTGTTATTTAGTGTCCAGTATTAACACTGGAATACCAGAAACTTCTGATGGTACCAGTGAAGGGGGACAACTCAAAGCTTAAATACCATTTTGCTGGTGTCCTGGCCCTGAGCTCGTTCCACAGGGGAGGTGGCCAGCTCCTTGCCCAAGAACTCTCTGACCAGCCTGGGTTTGTACAGGAGGCCTGCGCTGATCAAAATACCGGACTTAGATGAGACTAAAATGGCATCTTCTGTTTTTTGGTGGAGATACAGAAATTTTGATTCACAAAGATGCTGCCCAGTCAATGAAAGTTTACTTTCCTACTTGGATGTAGTTGAAGTAAGCATGGAAGAAAAAAACAAGTGTCTGTTTTGGTTAGACTTGGGTTTTTCCCTTAAGTAGCTCATAGTTTTGTGGGCTTCAGCTAATGAAATCCAGCTTGGATTTTTCACTTGAGAAAATTCCTCTGGCTTCAGGTCCAGTTATCTAGAGCCACCAGATACGTTCAGATACGTTATCCTCCCAGTATCTAATAAGGCACAGAGGAAGCATCACTACAGCGAGAGTGGAAAGTTCGTTACATGGAAGGTGTTTGCAGAGCTGGTGCTGCGTGACACCTGTACAAAACTGATCAATCTTGGCTTCAAACTTGAACCATAACTTGTTTTATTATTCAGAGTACATAAGAATAAAAAAGACTATGCTTAAGCCTTTTTAAATGCATTAAAAAAATACTCTGTGTGATGTCTGGGCATTACGGTTATCATCCCATGTTCTCTGAGTAACGCAGGTCTGCCAGTGAAAGATCTTCCAGCTGAAATTCACTGCTCCAGCAGAACAATATTAACAAAAATGGGCTGTCAGAGATACTTGCCAATGTCAAGGTGTACTCAATTTTTGTCTCTTGCTCCTGTTTACACAGTCCAGAGGGCATCAGAGAACGTATTAGTTGTTCTGTGACACAGCACGTATTGTAAAGGACTAAAGTATCTGCACAGAGCTACGGAAGGGCTGTATGGAATGTTCCCTACATTACACGTTAAAATGTGCTGTGTTAGAACTCGTGTCCACTGATGCATTTCTTTTCCACTGGAGCTATTACTTATCTCATGGTGATAACTAGACTTTAAAACAAACACCAGCAATGAGATTTAAAATGCAGAAAATCAATTAATGCTTACAGTTCTGTCAGCTGTTGTAAGCCTATACGTGGCTTGCACAAGAGCTAGTATATTGTGATGGAGATGTAGTGTAAAAATATGCCTACATGCATGCACTCTTTCATAATGATGGTCTCATGGTTATTATGAGATCTAGTTGTTTACTTTGATTATGTAATTAAAACCGCAAGTATAGTACTGCGGTGACAACTTTTTTAATTCATTAAGGGCAGAATTACTAACTTCCAGTTCCTGGTTCTTATTTGTAGCATGAAACACATGAGATTTTTGTTTGGTTGTTTTTTTTTTAAACAAACAAACCAAACACTTAAGTCAGAGGTAGTAAATGCTGTCGCTCTGGCAGCGGTGCCTAGTTCTCAGGTAAGAGCCGGATGCTTTATCTGGACCGCTTACGAAGCTTTGAATCTCCCCATCTGTGGGACACAGCACCCCATGCACCAAGCTGCGGAACTGCCTCGAACGCCTCTTTCTGCCGGAGGCAAGGGAGAAGGTGTGTGAGATGACAGCCTCACCCGCCGTGTACGGGACCTCACTGCACAGTCCTCTGTCCCAGCGCCGCCGAGTCCTCCACGCCCTCAGAGTAGCTTCACTTCTCTTGTCAGGGTAGACACCTGGTGTAGGGTCTCCTCTGGGACTCGCCCGTGTCCTGGTATCCTTCATCTTCATGTTGGTCCTGCTAGCATCCTCTAAAGGCATTGATTTAGCCGGTGATGCTGCAGAGGGGATTAGATTCCAGCCAGGAACTGTGAAGATGCCCACGCTCCAGTGCTGCCTCCTGTCCTGGGCTCAGCATCGACATCTCCCGCGGGAGCAGAAGCGGCTGGGGCACCACGGGCTTCCCTGGTTTGGGGACTTGCGAAGAGTGTGCCGTGTAGGCGAGGGGACTCTTGTCTGAGCAAGCGATTCTGGTAACTGCACAGTTTTCCTTGTTGGCTGTAATTACTTGTTGCTTTTACATCTGAGACAGAATGTTGTTTCTAGAAGGAACAAACTGTAACTAGGTCCCCACTGGCGGGTTTTTTTCATATTAACAACACATTTACATTTTTTCCCCCGATAAAGGCATGGAATGTTCTGGCCCTGGATGGCAGTAACTGGCAGCGAATTGACCTGTTTGATTTCCAGAGGGATATTGAGGTATAATTAAGTGACATACAAACCCATTTTTTTCTTGTTAAAATGTAATTACAGCCTAGAATGGATTAATACTCCCAGCGTAACCCTTTCTACCTTCCCTGGAGATAGAAATCATTAATTTCAGTTCTTGTTAGCTTCAGGGAGTCTTTAAAGTCTTGGCAATCCATTCAGCTTTTGAAAATGGACAGAATGATATCTGTATCCAGACTTAAAGGTAGTAATAGAAGGAAAGTACTTTTGTGTGTGTCCTGAAAACAGGAGTAAGTAGAATAGGTATGTTTTTGTGGAAAAGTGCTTCTGTATAGCAGCATTTAGGCTACTTTTCACTCACAGAAATGTTAACATAGCACTGACGTAAACTCTTAAGACTGAATGTCTTTTGAAACGTGGCCTGCAATATGTCTGTCCTTTCCTGTCTAATATCAAAAATTGAAATGTAAGTGAAGGTGATTCAGGGGGACGAGGTCAAAGTAGTTCCTCAAAGACGCAGCTTTGGAAATGCTCCGGTGCTGTTCTAAATCTGTTAGGTGTAGACTACTCGGCACTGACAGGAATGGATGCTGTTGTTAAAACTGCATTAATTGGGAAAAGGGACAAGAAAAAAAATCCCTTAAGTTTCCCATCAGAATGTTGTATCCTCTTTAAAACACATTGGAGGAGGGAGATAGGGAGTGTATCATTTTAACTCATTACAGACAGAGGCATAAACCAGATGCTGACCGAAGATTCACCCTGTGGGAAGCGGTGGGAGATACAGATGGTATTTATGGAGGAAAGAGTTAAAATAGTCTCTCTGCCAGCTGTGTATCTAAGCAGCTGCACGGATAAAGGGCCAGGCCTGTGATACAGTGATGACTTCTGCGTGCTTGCAGGGAGCTCAGTGGCCTGAGACTCCTTGAAGGAAGTAAACGGTGTGATTTTTGTTGTTGTTGTTGTTGTTCTTGATAATAAATACTATATCTCTTAACATGCCCTCAAAGTTCTGGACCCATATAATTTATTCTCATAGAGGTAGAGCAAAGTTAGGAGTGGTGCCCAGTCTCTGGAGGTAGCAGGAGATGTGGACCGAGCTGCTCAGCCTTGCTGCTGTCATTGGTCTGTGTAGGAGGGATAGAGGCAGGAGTGCTGTGAACGCAAACTAGGCTCTTCTCATTCTTGAGTGGTTTTTGCATGTTTTTAATATCTCTTTGTTCTCTAACGCCACTCTGTACATCAAATATGTGTTTTTGTATAAGCACGGACTTGCCCTTTTAAAACAAAATGCTTGAATATTGTACCTAACCTAAAAATACCTGGCAGGCTTTCTGATGTCCAAAAAGTTGTTTGCTTTAAAGGAATGTAAATCCGTCAGTTGATGTAAACTTTCTATATAAACGTGTTTGAATCCTCTAATTCAAGCACATGAATTCACAGCCTTGCTAGAGGAATTGCAAAAACACACAGACTGTTCAGATTTTTTTTAGTCCTTCTATGCCGATGTGCAGGTTGAGCTTCAGTCCTCCGTCAGCCTCCGGCCAGGGCAGCACATCGGCCGTACCCTGTGGCTGCGGAGCTGCTCCCGTAGCCCCTGAAAGCAAGTGGCCAGATGTCACCAGAAGTTCGTGCAGAGATCTAGTTAAGCTGGTGTCTCTTTTTTGATTGTGGTATTACATTGTACTGAGCCTGATGCTTGATTTTTTTTTTTTTTTTTTGACTGGAAAAAGATTCTAGAAAAATACCTTCATCATTAGAGGTCTTAAACGCCAACTATCATAGAATGGTTTGGGTTGGAAGGGACCTCAGAGGTGATCTAGTTCCAACCCCCTGCCTTGGGCAGGGACACCCTCCACTAGACCAGGTTGGCCAAACTAGTACTTGAAGAACTGAGTGATGTTCCTGTTCTGTGATGAACAACTATGTAGACTAAAGTAGAAGGGAAGGTTTTTGAATTTCTGGACATTGATACAAATATTTTCTCAGTGGTTTTTGTACTTCATTCACAGTGAGAAATAGCTGGGTAAATGCTAGCTCATAGTGGGGTCTTTGGAGGCTTCTAGTGATTACAAATTTGAAATTAAAAAGGCATTTTTCTAGATCTCTTGAACACAAATGTTTGAATCCCTTTTTCTGTGAGAATAAAACTCGTGGGCTGGTTCTGCCTCATCTCTCTTTTGAATAGAAATTAAAGTATATCCATTTATAGTACAATGACTGTACTTATTTGTAAACCTTACTGCCCGTGTTGTAGCAATGGTGTTGCTTCTTTCATCTGTCTTGGGTAGTCGGTATTGGTGTCCGGGAGCTCCGAACAGGAGGAAGTTCCCAGTCATTAGCCTGAGCGGCTTTAGGTAATTGTTCCTTGTCTCTCCATCTTCAGAAGCTGAATAATTCTCCCTCTCCCTGCCTTAGATTATTATCATGGCATTTTTGTTTTCTTAGCACTGTTTTACCTAGAATAACAAACTGTTGTTAATCTGCAAAATTTTGAATTCAACTTTTTGAATGATCAGGTGACTTTTTGGATTTTAATGTAATTCTTTCTGTCTCTGACAGGGCCGGGTAGTTGAGAATATTTCTAAAAGATGCGGGGGTTTCTTGCGGAAGTTGAGCCTGCGTGGCTGCCAAGGAGTGGGAGACAATGCATTAAGGTAGCGGTATGGCTTCTTTCTGCTCTTAAATGTGATGTGAAGAATGATTCTGTTTCTACAACCACAGAGGATTGGAATGATTTATTTTTTTTAACTTCACACAGTAGCCATTTTTCTCAATTCTCATTAGAATAATGCCAGCTGCTGCTACAGGCTAAGTAGTAATTGGCAATGAATTACAAGCTTTTGCCTTTAGGCTGGGAAATCCCAAGGCAAGATATGGGTAAACATAAATCATTTATTTTATTTATTTACTTATTTTCTTTGAGACAATTTTGTAAAATTGTATCCGATGGTGTTACAGTTAAAACAAATGCTGTAAAACAACTGGAAGTCTATTGCCTGAAAAATACTGTTTTCCTTTTCCTTTAATAAAGGACATTTGCACAAAACTGCAGAAATATTGAAGTATTGAACCTAAATGGCTGTACCAAGATCACAGATGCGTGAGTAAAATTCTTTTCTCTATTTGCCCTGTCATCCCCATTTTTGAGTATGCTGTGATACATTCTCCATCCCTTTTTTTTTTTTAAGGCCAGGCTTGTGCATGCAGCAGATAATATAATCCATGTCATATGAAACGTAGAGGATTTTGAATAAAACTATTGCATGAGTGTGTCTCGTATGCTCTCTTTCAGTACGTGTACGAGCCTCAGTAAGTTCTGCTTTAAACTCAGGCACCTTGATTTGGCTTCCTGCACTTCCATAACCAACCTGTCTCTGAAAGCGCTGAGGTAGGAGTCGACAACATCTACTTTTGCTGATTGAGTCCAGATAGTGTCACCCACCATTGCCCCGTGTGTCTCGTGAGTCCTGGAGGAGACTGACGTAGGCTGAGGTGTAACTGTGATTAGAATTTAGATGTTCCCCAAGAGACCTCAGGATTCACGTTGTGCCTCCTGGTTTGCCAAGACAGGAGGACTCAGACTCGGTAAAAGCTGCCCTCGACCTTGCATGTATCCATCCTGATGGTTATTAGCAGTAGAAGAAGAATTATATTCTGTTAAAGTCTTGGAGGAGGGATTTTGGGGGAGACAAAAGCCTTAGTCTGCCTTTTTAAAAATGCTCATTTACTAACAGTCGACTTCTTCATTGTAAGTGTACCATTGCGTACTTAGCAATTGTTTACATAGCTAGAAGGTGAACACCAGCATGTGACTATTTGTCTTTTTAAACTGCTTAGGAGACATATAACTGCTTAAATCTGCTAAATGGAATTGCCAAGTAATCTAGAAAAGGAAGGGACAGACAGACATTGGTGGGAAGATATTGGGACAGAGAAAAGGAGGCAAAAAAAACACTAAAGGTAACAATAGAGGCCAAGCTATTAAAAAAAAAAAATAATTCAAGTGATATACCAGTGGAATAAAAGAAAATACAGGAAAGCTGTATCATGGGGAAAAAATTACTGGAGGGTGAATCTAGAGACCAGAAGAAAACAGATTTGAAAGAACAAATGATTGATTAAACTATTTTTTTTTTTAGCTACATTAAAATACTTTGAGTCTGTTTTTTCCTTCCCTGGAGGGTCTTCATCCTTGTCTCTAATTTCTCGTGGTCAGATTTGTGCTGCAGCTATCTTAAATACGTGATAGCATATATATTATATCTCTTCTTAATTACAAATCACACTTGAGACTGACAGCTATTTGCAAAGGGAAGGTAACACCTGGAAAGTTAGAAGCAGCGTGGCAGAAATGGACCCTGGTTTTGGATTTGGTAGTGTTCAGATCCAGAAAGCCCATAAAGAGCTTCTGTCCTTTATAGGCGCTGGGAGGTGTCCAAAATGGGAGAAATCGGTTGTCTTTTACCCTGCTGATACCCTGATCTAGAGCTCCTGCTGCTGCCTCTGGAGAGCTCTTCACATCTGGAGATGATGTCTGACAAAAGTGTTCCCCATGGGTGTGTGGGGTGTGGGTGTACAGCTGTGCTCACCTGGGTTCCAGAAATGGGGATTGCCTAGATTCTGGCTTGAAGTGGAATTTCTTTCCAAAACGAAACCAAGTTTCCATCCACTTTTCCTTTCACCTCCAAAGCGAGGGATGCCCACTGCTGGAACAGCTGTATATCTCCTGGTGCGACCAAGTGACTAAGGACGGCATCCAGGCTCTGGTGAGAGGCTGTGGGGGACTCAAAGCCCTGTTTCTGAAAGGCTGCACGCAGGTACGGCTCTGTGGAGAGCGCTCAAATTGAATAATAACAGCTGGCTTACTTCTGCTGTAACTGAAACTATGGGGATGAGGTATTGTGGATTTTTCTATTTCCAGAAATGTTATGTTACTGAAATTACTCACAATCTATCTGTTGGAGATTAACTGCTTTTATTGAAATTCTTTAATAGCTTTGAGCTCAGCGTGAATAGTGGGGCAGTGAACAAATTGCATATCTAGCTGGAGAATCATTCTTCTTTTTTCCCCATCGGGAACACATTGAGCAAACTTTTTTTAAAGAGGAGATAACTTTGTTATTCATGGTTAGACCCATCTGTTTCTGAAGGCTCAGAAAATTTTAGAAAGCATGACAGTGCTTTCCTCTGCCCTGGTGATAGAATTTCCTCTACGTGTCGTTTGGATCTTCAAGTTAGTCAAAGAGAATCACCATGTATGTGACTCCTTGAAAAGACATCCCTGCAGTCAGTAATGAACGTAGTACTATTCCCTCAAGTATATCGTGTAGCTCTCGAGCTATAGCAGGATATTTTGAAGAGGCTGCAGAGACTGATGCTCATACTTTGGAATATATAAATGGTGCACTAACAGCTGGAACGGTTTGTTGGGGGGTTTTTTGCCCCCTTGTTATACTTTGTGTTATTTAGACTAACTTCATTTATTCTTTCTTTACTGTTTTATCTAGTGAATGATTGAAAAGTTGAATATGTTAAATACTTCCCTGAATTACAACTTTACTAAGGAGTTAGGTCAATTGTGAACTGGACCATGGGGAACATCAACCTTGAGCATTACTCTTGATGAGCAAGAGCTCCTTGCAAAGCTATTTCACAGGGAATGGGAGGACTAATTCTTATTTTTTTACTTAGGTGGGCTGGGGTCTTTTTAATGCAGACAGGCTAGAAAGGAGCAAACATGTATCTCAGAATCATGTCCTTGAAAAAAGAGAGTAAAACTGACCCCAGAGGAGTTGAAATCTGTGACCCAGAGACTCCCAAGAGTTTAAGAGCCTCAAGGTAGACCTGGAAAATTATCTCTGATCTGTTGGGTCCTTGTAACCGAACTCCGACAGAGCTTATTTGTTTTGGATTTGTTAGGTTTTCTTCTTGGGGGTAGGGTTTCCTTAAGTATGAGTCAATAAGTGCCATGTTCGTCTGCCTGTATAGATAAACAGCTACATGTTTTTATTTTGCAAAAAGGATATTTCTCCTGTGCGTGGACACAGAAAGTCCTGAAAGCTGGTTACGATGAGCGAAGCAATAATACACCAGTTATGTGCACAAGAAAGCCCAGCTGTAAGGGCTGCAGTCAGTAGGTTTTCTAAATTTATACTACTGTAGGGCTTTTAATACGTGAGATGGGTATACATGGCTGTAAAAGTGACTTGATTAAAGATATAACAATCTCAGCCTATTTTGAGAATTCAGGTCATAGAAACAGCTTGAGTTTCTAGTAATTTATGGAGTCATGAGTAATATTGATGGCAATACATCCTTGTTATCAATTACTTGCCATCTGTTCTTATAGATTTAAGAATAGCAGGCTTTTTTTATCATCAGAAAGCAACCTGGATGTGTTTGTGCTCCTCACATAGAAATAAGACTTTTTTTTTGAGTTCCAGTATTGCAATATAAAAATAGTGTTAGTGACAGGCCCTCACTAGTGAAGCATTTCCTAAATTCCTGTAAATAGCTTCTGATTTCACTACTTGCTGTGTTAATTATGTGTGTTTGATCAGATCAGCTTTTCTTTAAATCAGTAATGTTGTGGGTCTCAGAACTCTGTTCCCGAGATGGTAAAAAAAACCCCCCCAAACCAACAAAATGTCATGCACTTACTGTATTTGAGAGTGGAGTGCCTTGCCCTCCTCCCACCATCCAAAACCACAGATGCTTTATTGTTCTCATAGCTTTATTTTGAAGATTGCTTCAAGTATTAACAGGTTGTTTCAGTCTCTAAATTTTTCTTTCCAGCTTGAGGATGAAGCTCTGAAATACATTGGTGCACATTGTCCCGAGTTGGTGACTTTAAACCTTCAAACATGCTTAGTAAGTAAAGCTTCCTATGATTTCCCAACTCAGCCACCGTTGTGCGTTTAGAGGCCATCTCTAAGCAGAACCATGCAGAATGTACTCCATCCCAAAAACATCCTCATCTGTGCAGACAGGGCAATTGTAAATTTATGAGACTTTTAAAAATTGTTGATGAAAACCAACTTTTTGGTGGCATTCAGTAATGTTGAATAAGCCCCCAAAACAGTATCACAGCATTCACTTTGTCAGAATTGTTTGTCTCTCTGCTCTGCCCATGGGGCTTCTAAACTCATTTGCAGGACTAGCTGGAAAAATTCTTTCCATCGGGCTGGAGCGTTTGTGTGGTGATATAGCCAGGCGGTTCCTCTGGTCTCTTCATAACATTGAACCAAGTGCAGTTTCCCTGCGCAAAAGGGCTCTAAACCAGTTACTCTGCAATGCCAAAAATGTGTATTTATGCCAAAAAAGAAATTGGAATGGGCTCTTTGTACATACCGTCATGCGGTTAGTCTGACGCAGCGAGTAACTGGACAGTCTCTTCCTTTTCCACGGAAGTGGGCAAGGCCTTTGGGGGGCTGCGGGGCTGTCCTTTCCCCGTCCTGTTTAAGGACCAGCTCTACCAGTTGTTAGAGGCTGGTGCCCGTCTCTCTGAGACTGGGTGCTTGTGAAGGAGGAGCTGAACTGTTAGCAAGTTCCAGACCTGCGCCTGGTGTCTAGGGGAGAGGCAAACGGGCAGAAGGAGAAGAAAATTAGTAAGGTTCTTGATCGCCTTGGCTGAAAATACCAAGTTCTACTCGGTTTCTGTTTCATCTCACTCAGCACTTGGGCTTACCGCTCCCTAGTTGGTGCTTTTCTGTGGGAATTGAATCCGGCTGCCTCTGAAAATCCAGAGCCTAAGAACTGAGCGAGGTTTAACCTGGTCCTCCTTCATGCACAGCCTCTGCCACCTATTGTCCCTTTGTTCCTCGTCACACTGCCCCTGTTGCTCTTGATCCCGTGCGGCTCCTTGGCACAGCCACGCTGAGTCCCAGCCCCTCGCGCTCCTGCGGGGAAACATCTGGAGCAGATTTGTGCACCGTTGCCATCCCAGACTTGCGAGCAGAGCACGTGGGGCCGGACAGACCCTGCGTGTCTGAGGACGCAGCGGGTCGGTGGAGCTGCTGTGCCACGGGGTGAATTGAATGTGATTTTGGGCTGTAAGCCTGTCTCTTGCAGTTCAGGTTTTGGTCCTGAGCCACCAAAGTGTATTTTTAAAAGGCTGTTAGTGAAAACAACCTGCTGCTTGTTTTGTGGGTATCTCTGTTAGCTGCTTTCTTGTCTTGAGTGTCAACCAAGAAGGTCTTTACAAGCAAAGGTTGCAGAGGAAGGCAGGAGACCGAGTCCGGGGCCACTGCTACCCTGCCTTCCCCCACCCCTCACGTGGCCCAGGCTCAGAAACATTTCCGTGCATGTGGAATCACTTTCTGAATGTTTACAAGTCACGTCAATGTGGCTTATCCTGTGTCAGCTGCTCCAGTGAAATATTCGAATGCGTTTTTGGGTAGAAAGAAGCATAACTTGGCCTCGGTTAAATGCCTGGTTGGAAGTCCAAGAAGGAAAATATGCAATGCCTTGCACCTCCACCTACATTGTTATGGCTTCTGATGTTGTTATTGTTTTTTCTTGTAGCAAATAACAGATGATGGTCTCATTACAATATGCAGAGGATGCCACAAGTTACAATCCTTGTGTGCTTCGGGCTGCTGTAACATCACAGATGCCATCTTGAATGCCCTGGGGCAGAACTGCCCACGGCTTAGGTAAGTTTGCTGCAGAGTTACCCGAGCTCCCCTTACCTGTTGCACCTTGAGCAAAGGACCCTGGTGACGTGGTCGTGTAATATCTGAGCCGTTTTAGACTCTGAAGGTCCTTCTGAAAGTGCACTTTTTATCACTGAGCTTTTTCCAGGCATTTGCTGTGGGGTGATGGTCATTTTACCCAAACTTTTGGTTTCTAAACTTGCGCGAGTAAAACAGTGGTAAAAGAGCTCCGTGCTGTGGTGGTGTGCGCTGCCAATAGTAGCAGTCTCATTTTACACCCTTGTGTATCTACTTTTGTTCTGTTACGGGAGAGGTTAGGTTCCTTCAGTATTGAGGACTGAAAAAGCATTTAAACAACACTGTTTCCTCTTGACGTGATATTAACAATGATTTTGCAGCAGATGGAATTTGTGCTAACGTTCACTCTGCTTGACAGAGTGGGCTTCCAGCGACATCTCTGCAGGTGCTTGCTTTTTTCTATTATTATTATTTTTTAAGACTTTTTTTTTTAATCAGGACAAGTTTCTTCAGGAAGATTTTGCTATAATTCAGAAAATGGCTAGGTGCGGAAAGAAGAGACAGTTTTATTATCTGACATCTGTAACAGCCGAGTGGCGTGTTTTAAATGGCATCAAATACATGTCTTCCAGGGGAAAAAGTAAAACAAAACACAACTGTTCTCTGTGATAAGCTCATTTAAAGAATTATGGGTACAAAGTGCAGCATGCAAGTGCATGGAAACCAATTCTGAAAGAGGAAGGTAAAACATGATTTTGGTTCCAAATGGTTTCTGTGTTTATGTTCAGCTTTAGCGTTAAGCTACATACGGTAAAATTCATAATGCCCTTCAGGCAAATTGGCTTTCTTTTGTGTAAAGGTAGATAAATATGTTAACCCTGTGAAGTTAAACCTCTGTAGAGCTGCAGTAACTGCCAGAAAGTTTATCTGTTGTCACAGAAACAAGCACTTCACCTCTTAGAAGACTTCAGACTCTTCTCTCATGGCATTAAATATTTATTCTTTCATGCCCATCTGCCAGGTTGTCGTGTATTGCACCCTTTTTCACGATGAGATCTGTATTTTGGGTGGAAACCAGAGGAGATCACTTGGGGAGGTTGTGGAGTGTCCAGCAATGAAGATTTTTAAGAGCACCTTAGTCCAACATGTGTCGGATTAGACCTCCCTGCCTCGTAGCAGGGTACGGACGGGATGACCCTTGGAGTTCCCTTTTAGCCTGACTTCTTTTTTTCTTTCCCTGTGACCTACGCTCAGGTATAGAGGGTGGATGCTCTGTGCAAATTATCCTCTCAGACAGCACAGCCTAAACCAGGTCAAACTTTTCTGGGTTGCTGGAAGCTTTTAATGAAACACTCTGAAAAGCAAAATGACTCCACCATGGTTATTATAAATTCTTTCTGTACAGAATATTAGAAGTTGCAAGGTGTTCTCAACTAACAGATGTGGGCTTTACCACTCTAGCTAGGGTAAGTGCTCATTTCCACTTTTTCATCAAGTGTCTTTACTTTCTTTTCATGATAGATAGGAGTGAAACAGTAGCTTTCTCTTGAATGTAGATATTTGTAATCTTTGGCATTGTCCTGACCTACACATCTTGGAGGATGTGCAGCCAAACTATGTGAGATGTTAAATACTTGAGAGTTATAGACTTTACTGTTTGCCTTTTCTAGACTAATCTGTGTTCTATACAACTGACCCTAAATTTAACCTCCTTTGCTTTCTATGAATAAAAAAAACTTGGTGCCTTTAAATGAGTGAAATTGCTAGATTTCTTTTCCTATATTTGGTGGTATTCATAAAGAAGCAGCAAAACTTTATCAGTCATGACGTTTCATGGAGGAAGAACCTTCATTTTTTAAAAAGGACTGTTTCATTGTAGTTGTGTGTATATTTGCTGTCTGAACTTTGCACTTAATTTGTGTTTGATCTTTTGTTTGTTCCTAGAACTGCCATGAGCTTGAAAAAATGGACCTGGAAGAGTGTGTCCAGGTAAGAGGTGTCACCTCTGGCTGTTCGGGTTTTTGGCTTTTTTTTTTTTTTTTTAGCGTGATCGCAGCAGTGCAGAAAGATTGTGAAAAAGTGGATTGTCTCTAAATCAGAACTTGATTTAGAGTCCTGAGCAAGAAGATCGGATGTATTTGGATAAGAAAATACTGCTCTTGTAGTTTGAGCCTTTGTTCATATTTCATAGTAGTGAATGCAACTGTAAATAATAAAAGACAACTCAGTTGATAGTAATAGATGTGGGAATTGTGACCCTTGACACAAGATACAGTCCCCGGAGTGAGATCTCTGCACATAAGGCAAGGGAAGGTTTGTGCTACATATACTGGTAGAAATAATGGAAGTTACCTCTGTTTTGAAAAAACAAAAACAAACAAACAACAACAACAAAAAAACAACCACCAACATAGCCAGATTGTTTGAACAGCAATGATTTTTTAGAGGACATGGCAACAGCTTGAAATAAAACTGAGATGCCCGAGCTACCATTAGCCTTCCACAAAGGCAGTGGGATGTAATGTAATGAGTCTGTTGTTGTCGAGTCTTTTATAACCCTGTGCTGGCTTTGTTAGTTTTAAGGAGGTCTCGTATGTGACTACGCACTGTTCTGTAGGGTATGTGCCATAAGCTGATAACCGTTTCGAGGTAGCATTTACAGGGGAAAATAGTTGAATTTACTCATGAAAAAACTCTAACCCTAAGGATGGATTTGAAATCGATTCAGATAAAGACAGTGGAGGTAATAGGAATTTGCTTCCTGCCATGAGAACAGCGTGACCCTGGTATTCTGTACTTCCTGATGTTTACAGGGCAGAAATTCAGGAGATCACAAGAGGAAATTACAATAGTCCAGACAGGAAGTGATTTAAAGTTAACCCAAAAAGGAAGAAGAAAAATTGGGCTGTGTCCTTGGACTGACTGCACTGAACAAAGACAGCCCAGCAAGTTCCCTTCTGAATGCTTTTAGATAGAAAGCCATTGTGTCGAGTCTTTCTTCCCAAAGAATAAAGAGGAACAATTTGGCAACCTACCAAGCTGTTGGAGGGGGATTTGAACACCTCTTGTGCTTTGAGACAAACATTTAGGACCTTAATTAAAGCCCATCTAGTTCCACCCCTCTGTCATAGGCAGGGACACCCTCCACTAGCCCAGGTTGCCCAAAGCCCCATCCAACCTGGCCTTGAACACTGCCAGGGAGCCAGGGGCAGCCACAGCTTCTCTGGGCACCCTGTGCCAGCGCCTCACCACCCTCACAGGGAGGAATTTCTTCCTCAGATCTCATCTAAATCTACCCCCTTGCCTCTCTTAATTGCGAGCTTATTTCATGAGAGCCACTTAAAGGCTCAAAAAACCAACAGTACCTGTGCCTTGACAGTCCTTTAAGGATGTGAGGTGATAAGGGAGTGGAAGAATCTGTACGTTTGAAGTTGGTCACGCAGGAGATGGGTTCCAGAGGGGCTCAGGAGGGTGTCTGTGGGGAACGCTGCCATGGATGAGGCAAAAGTTTGCAGCTTTTCTTTCATAGGGGAAAGTCCTTGTGCAAAGCACCCAGCATGAAAGGGCTTTTTCTTTTTTTTTTTTCCAGATAACAGACAGTACACTAATCCAGCTTTCCATACACTGTCCACGGCTTCAGGTTCTGGTGAGTATTATAAGTGAGACTTCCAGCATTTTCTTTCTATAAACAAAGGGATTTTTAAGTACTGCCTGTGGGGATTTGTCTCTTTGACTTCATAGACATGTTGAGAAGGCTTGGAAGATTTCAGCTAGAAACTTGACCCCGAAGAACCTATTGTCCCTCCCCTACTGCTAGCATTAAGCTTGCGCCAGGCACCCACAGCTGCCTGAAAATGAATTATAGGACACCGGATTCTCCTGGTACCAGCCTCTGGCTGTCCTCAGCACGCCTGGCAGAATCTGTCCTCAAACTGGGCTGTCGTTCCTTCTGTAGGAGAGGAGACTGCAGCCCTTCTCACCTGTAGTGTGGAGCTGGGCAGCTGAGACCTGGCAAGCTTGCTGGCTCTGGAAAACAATGTTCCTCTTGGTCTAAATTTCTGGGAATTGAGTCTCTGTCCCCTCTGCGTCCCTGTGTGTTCTGCTGCATTGTCATCATGAGAAAACCTGTCCTTTCCCATTGCGCTCCAGCTATGAGTTTTCCCCTTGCACGTTATCATTGGAGTCCCACGGAGCCCAGCGCCTGCGGTCCGGAGCGCAGCAGTGGCTCCGGTGCAAGGAGGGAGTACAGACCTGTCCGAAAAGCCGGCGTGGCAAAAACAGTCCAAATCTATGACATGTGGGTGGTCTTCCCTCTCGTCCCACAGTGTCCCCCAGCAGGGTGTTGGCTTCTGTTTGCCGATGGCAGAGGCTGCTCACAACTTGTGTTTGGATGCAGAGTTTGTCCCACTGTGAGCTGATCACGGACGATGGGATTCGTCACTTGGGAAACGGCGCCTGCGCACACGACCGCTTGGAGGTGATCGAGCTGGACAACTGCCCTTTGATCACGGACGCCTCCCTGGAGCACCTGAAAAGCTGCCACAGCTTGGAGAGGATAGAACTGTACGACTGTCAGCAAATCACACGGGCAGGGATCAAGAGACTCAGGGTAAAAAAATAGTAATAATAAAACATGGCTAGGGCTATGACTTGAACACTTTATCTGGTGGGAGGAGGGAGGGCTGAGGTTTCAGATTCCTCATGATCTGGTGCTCATTCTTAAAAGTATTGAGAACCATGATTTACGAAATGAATCGCTGTCCTGCACTCAGAAGATTGGATGGGGATGAACACTAGCTGGTAGGGAACAGAGGTAATTGTTGTGTTCACGGAGTGGTAGCAGAAAGGAACAGAGGAGACCCAGCATGCGAGTGCTCATTTTACAAGCACTTGTACATGACAGTGCTCTTCTAAACGTGACACCAGCTCTTGGTGCCAGAGCAAACGTGTAGAACGGCACCTCCCCTCGACTGCTTTACGTGCTCAGCATAGATCGTAGCACACTTTATGCTGACACTTCCCATATAAATAACTCCGGCTAATCCTGTAATAAAACCAGTCTGTTGTAGGGGAGGCTGTGTGTCCTTGTGAGTGGGACAGAGCCAGGGCTGCTCCGTCATTTGCTGCTGCTCATCCAAGGCACTCTGCGTGCCCCCGACTTCCCTCCTGACTCTATTTCTCCATCTGTAAAAGAGGAGTAATGGTAACGTTTTATTCATAAAGAGAACACGGATCTGCACAGTTAGATGTTGTTCTGTTCTCTGCAGCTACCGCAGGATTAATGGTGAGGAAAAAGCATCGTTTTTCCTTACTGCCTGTTGCTCCGTTTTCTGGTAACGGAAAGAACTTGTTAATCCACAGCCTGTGGGGAAGTCACGCTGGTAAACTGGAAGAGTTTGATTCTAGTTTTTACGTGTGTGTTAGTTCATAGTCTGAGGATGAGTAAGCCGGGCCTATTTCAACCGCTCTCTCTCTCTCTTGCACTGCCACTACCTCATCCCTTTACACGTTGTGTTTGTCTTTTCAGACCCATTTACCCAATATTAAAGTCCATGCCTACTTCGCGCCTGTGACTCCACCTCCTTCGGTCGGGGGCAGCAGACAACGCTTCTGCAGATGTTGCATCATCCTATGACACTGGAAGTGGTCATCCTTGCAAACTGACTATTTAATTACACTTGTAGAATTACGGTGGACACCAGTATCTTCAAGAAAAGCGATACCAGTGTCATTTGCCAGGGCCAGTGAACAGGGCTGTGGTGCCAGGCCCCTGTAGCCACCCATACACATACATATACGCGCCCCACCTGTTCCAGCAAACTGATGAACTCCGCAGAATGGGAGCTGGAGCTGTGTTGGCTTTTTTTCTGTAGGTGGATTGGTATAATTCTGAACCATTCCTACTGGGCATGCTCAGATGAAATCATTGCGGTAAGGAGGGGAGGGTTTTTTGCGAACCCAGAATGACTCTTGCTGCTGTTGAGGTCGGAATAGCAACTGAAATCTTTTGAAATGGGGAAAGGGGGAGAGGGAAGGAACATGCTTTAACCCTGCATCCCTTGTCCAGCAGAAAAAAAAAAAAAAACAAACCTGAAAATCCCAACAAGTTTTGTGTCCGTTTTTCAGTGAGGGAATGAAACAGCAGCTGTTGTGAGACCTGATTTACTTGTGCTTCTCTGCTTCCCATTCCCTGCTGACCACCCTGAGCATGCTCACATTGAAGGTTCATCTGTTTCTTCTGTGTTCTGTAGCATCCAGCTCAGAGGCTTCCTAGATTGTCGTGATATAGCTTGAAATCTGTAATGTCAGGCTCCGTTTTTTATCCTCCCTACATCCCGCTTTTTTTACAGGTTTCTAATTCAGTAATTTTTTTTTTTTTGAGATTTACCAAACAAAAGTTACGAATCAATAATTTAAATTTAAAAAAACCCCACTTTTTACCATTAGAAGCCCGAGCCTGTAATGACCCGATAGGAAGATCTTTAAATGGAAGGTGAGCTGCGCCACAGGCTAGGCTCTTGTAGGCTTCTTGGCCTGTTTTTATCAGCGATAGGGTGTCCGAATTTGGTTTTGCATTTCAGGTTTTATCCCAGCGACAAGAATATAACTCCTGATATAGGGAAAAAGTTATAGTCTCTGTTCCAGTGACTGTGAGTTCCCTGCTCCTCCTGTCCTTTCCCTCCCACCCTTCATCTTGCCCCCAAGGAAGAGCAGAGTAGAGTCTTTTTGCTTGTTGCCCTGATCAAGAAATAATGCCTCGCTAACGGAAGTGGGAGGAGCAGCGGGCCTGAAAATACGCCCTTGATTTATTGTCACGTTGTTGTATGCTGAGGTGCGGGCGCTGGGTGATTTTGCTGACTTTTGCATCTTCTGCAGGTAAGTGTTTTGCCCCGGAGAAGGAACCATCTGAATGAAACGAGGGTTTTCTGTGTGCCAGTCCTTCCCGGCTGTCGGGACGTGCTCCCGGCAGCTGGTTTTGAGGCATTTCAGGCAAGATTAGCCCAGGTGCTTCAGAGGAGCGTAGACAGCCCGGGCCAGCTCTGTCAGCTCCCAGTTCCTTGATGCTGGCAGCTCCAGATGCCCAGTATGAAACATGTGAACAGATGGGCAGGCGCCAAGGGTTTAATGGGGCAGAACTTGGTCAAACTCTTAACAGGTTTGTGGAAGACGAGCTGACGTGTAAGTAATTGCGCTCTTCCTGCTGTCCGCACCCCGGGGTGGATGGGAGCGCACGTGTTTGGGGGTGACAGAGAGGAGCAAGGCTGTTTAATCATCCTCACTGCCAAGGAAGTGGTGCTTCACCTTTCCGCTGAAAAATCTGATGGGGGAAGAGCAGGGTGCAGCACAAGGAAATAGCTGGTTTAGGGTCCTAGGGGCTTGTTTTCATTCACCGTGGGTTTGCTTTGAGGACAGTGTGCTGCTTCCCAACGCTTTTATTGCTGTCTGAGCTCTTCAGGCAGCCGGAAGGGTCGCTTAGTCCCACCGAAGCTGTATCCCCTTCATCTACAACCTAAATTTCCCCAGCCCCTGGCTATGTGCTTAACAAAGCCTTGCAGATGCACAGTCTGCTGGGAGGAAATCCAGTGTGCTGTGTTTAAAAGGATACTGTCAATGCCTTTCCTGTAGATCACTTTTAATCTGTTATATTTATTCAAATCCTCTTTAGCGCTGTGGATTCTCTCTCTCTCCTCAACGAGCATGTTCCTATACTTCGTTTGCAGAACTCCTTTCTCCGATTTTTCGAGGTGGCAGAAGATAAAGGTCACAGACTGACTCCGAAGGGGCGGGTGCGCCTGGGGCAGCACCCCACAATCCCGGTATTTGCACAGCTCTGGAAAGAACACTCTGTTTAGTTTATACCGTGGCGGGGGAGAGCTAAAATGGATTTGTAAGCCAGGATGTAGTTGGCTGACCGATTTCTTTGTAACAGAGTAGAGTTTTCAAGGGAAAACTCAAGAATACAGAACCCAAAGCATTATTTTTATTTTTTTCCAAACAGGGTGACAGCATTAAGGTAGCTCAAACTGCTTGACAGTGTCCTTTTAAGTCAATTATCCGTCTTCAAATGGACTCTTCCTAATGTTTGTATTTATAAATACCAATAAACACCATTTTCCAAGCTGTGTCTTGCTAGAGGAATACCTTTGTAGAGGGGGAAAAAAAACAAAACAAAACCCCAGCCACCTGGACGCGAGTTGTTGTTTGGGAACGTGTTTCTGCTCCGCATACGTGCGCCCTTGTTTCTGCCGAGCTGGTGGCTCCCGAGCTGGGTGCTGGGTCGGGTGCTGGCCCCGGGTTTGGGGTGGTGGCTGCGGAGGGCACCAGGCACCGACATTCAGGTCCATCGTTTATAGATGAACGTCTCTGTACTGTCATTTTGGGGGGTAAGTGATGGAAAATGGTGAAAAATCAGTTTGTGAGCTCCCTGCTCGTGCCAAACGCGTCTTGTCCAGCCTTGGAACCGGAGCAGCTGTACGAGGCAGATCGGGTCCTTGATGTGAGACCGTGAGCTGTTCTCCAAACGTCGGCCCTTTCCTTGCCCTCCCTTGAAACCCCACGTGCGCCCCGAGCCCCAGGCTACCTCTGTCAAAGTCGTGTCCACAGAGCGGAGGCCAGACTCTGTGTTACCATCCCAAAAAAGCCATTTTTTGCCGTGACCTGGACCTGGCCCCTGGCCCCGACCTGCTCCTGGACCCACGGGTGCAGGGACGAGGGGACCTCTCTGGCAAAATAGCCCGAGACCTGCTGGGAGGTGGTGTGGGAAGATCTAATGCAACCCAAAATGGGGCTTTTTCTGGTCTTTGGAGGGACACGGCAGCACTTTATCCCTGTTCTGTGGCGGCTGCTGCTGAGGATGGGGAAGCGTAACCTGCTCTCACGGGTTATTTAAAACAAACTTTAACAAATTCCCATTTTCTAAACATCATTGTAATTTATTTTTTTTTTTCTTTTCATTTTACTCTGTTGTTCATGGCTGGCCTGTGGTGTCATGGTATTTGCGTTAGTTTTGGGTTGGGGTTTTTTTTGGTGGGGTGGGGGGTGGCTGGGAGATGAGTATGACAAGGTTCTTCAGTACAGTGTTCTGGGCGGAGGGTTGTGTGCCCCAAAAATGAGGTTTCAAACATCTTGTCCCCTTCTGAGGAGGGATTGCCTGGTTGGGGCTGTTGTTCTTGGCATGATTTTTTTTCTGCTTTGCTTTCCAAAAAAAGTCTGAGGGG